TATCGCAAATATATGAAAAACGACTTGTTGGACACATCCAGTGCGGGTACTAGCGGATTTACGTTTAACAAGTATGTGAAAGTGTCGGGACGTCCACGAACAACAAAAACCACTCGAAGTTGGTATCCAAAGCGACATATTAAAACGGCAGGTGTATCTTCTCGTCGTACTCAGAGCACAAAATTGGAAAAAAGGGGATTCGCAGACGTTTTGAGTCCGTCCAGCACGGTAAAAAAAAAACAACGTCTTGATCGTGGTATATCTATTGAGCCTATTGCCCAATATTCTGATTCTCTGAGTGACCTTGATGAATTGCCTTATGAAGACTTTTCGCTTACTGGATGTTATCAGCGATTTGTAGACTTTAAAATCGTTTCCGTAATTGATGCTACTCCTCTAGGTGCTAAAATTGCAACCGTGGGTAGTGAACGTGGAAAACGACCTGGCGACACAAAATTTGTATTTGATGAGGAATTTGTAGCCAAAGCATACAAATGTATGACAACAATGGAAGCACAAAGGATAAGTTTCAGAGACTCACGTAAAATAACACAAAACCTCACTGGAACACACATAGAGTGGTTAGGTCGCACATTATTAGAAGACGGAAGTGAGCGGGTGTGAGGAGCGTAGCCGAAGCAAACCCGAGCGGGGTACCCGCGAAGCAGGGCCGCTCGGTATTTGCGTAGGCGGGCCCAGCGACGAACTCACCAGCGAACGGACCCGCAACACTCTCCAGAACATGTTTTTCTAATGCGTGGGTCTCCCCAGCATGCTTTGATTAGAGCGTTGTCCATAATTGTGGTGGGTTTTGTGTTTTGGATTTGCTCTCCAAGAGTGCATGAGCGTAAAAACGCTGCTTCTTGTCTTCAATAGACAGTGGGCTTACATAAGTACGTTTAGATTTTACTTCTTAAAGTACTTTAGAACCTATTTTTAAAGAAAGGTATTGTGCTTTGCACACATTCTGTCTAAACGATGCCATAACTCGTTGTTTTAGCAAATCTTGAAAAATAATCCAACATTGATTTACCTACCGTAATCGTCGAATTAATGTTGAATTACCCTTTATTCGAAGAGTTAATGTTGTCTTATAAGTGTTTTCGTTGAATGGCTGTAGTAAAGTGCCAAACCAACGTTGTACACTCCAACTCTTTCTTAAGCCCGTGCAACTACATTCCAGAAGATTACAATTTCTATCGACATGCGTCAGAGAATTTAATTCTGCTGACCTACATCTAAGATATTGACCTAAGTGTCGTTGCGTCCGTTATGGAGGTCTCGACGCGGTCTATTTCTCGTTGGGGTTAACTGTTTCGCCGTAGAGGTAATGCGATGCCGAACACGCGACTTAAAAGGAAGACAGGATGGCCATTAAATTCGTCAAAGAGGAGCAGTCATGCTTCTATATTGAAGAGCTTCAAGTCTCTATCCAGTCTAAATTAATGAGAATGGACCTTAGCTACTTACCGATTGGCTCGTGAAGGATCAGGACAATGGGCAGGAAAGCACTTCTTCAAGCTGGGGAAGAAGTAGCCGGGCATAGCCTTGTCGCTATGGTTTTGCGTTGTAGGTGCAGTTTTGCTTTGTCACCGGGTATGATTAACTTATTTTTAACGTTGGGTTATGTTCTAGCTTTAGATTCACGAAAGAGATTTGTCGCTGTTTTAGAGGCTCTATTTGTAAGCCAAAGTTGATGCAAAGCACAACACTTAAAAGTAAAGACTGTAACATCCGGACACGACGAAGCAGAGGCCATTGACCTCACTTATTAATATAGTACATGTTGTTAATAAGTACAGCTCAAGATTGCGTTGATCTCAGGTCAACATAAGCATAAGCTGTACTACATGCATTAATAACATGTACCTTATGTGTGGGCAGATCAATTCAGAACGCTCCGTACTTCGAAGTGTATTGTCTCTTACATATAGTGCGGATTCAGATACCGGTACGGTTGTAAACAAATTGAGACGGACAATCCTCTGTGGAATGATATCCCAATTTGTGATTTGCACAAGATAAGGAGGTTAGATAGGTCTCCCGCTGACCAGTAGCAAACAAGCAGAAATTACCTCCAACCTGGATTGTACTTAGTGATATAAAATTGCCGATTATTACTATCAAGACGGCAGTTAACTATTGATTCTGTACATTTGGTAAATTTACGTCCGGCAACTGCTTTAGTTTCTGGAGTTGGAGTGAGGAATATCTGTACAAAAGTCCGGATAAGCAAATCATAGATTTCCTTTCGGATATTTTTGGATGCTCTAATACTTAACTCCAGTGTGGTAATGACGTGGGCTGGTACACCAAGGAATCTATTTTTGCAGCAACACTTCATAACCTTCGATTAGCTCTGTAACCTAGTTCTCTATTTGCTTGTTTCGGCCCCGCTTGCGATCCAGCTTTCCTCGGACCATGCTCTACAGAGTCTGATATCTCTAATTGCTTGATGCGGCAGACCCATCGCGTCAGCATGAAGAAAGAGCATGGTCATCCACTGTAATCGACCTTCCAGTCAGCAGTGTAGCCATAAAGTCGACGGTACCCTTCTTATGGTACAGCTCTTGATAGTGGTTCCTCCGGGTAGTAAGGCATTGCTTCCCTGCGGTATCACTACACAGAGGATTGTTTTTAATAAATACGTCGAGAATCTCTAAGCACAACAAAGACAGGTACCCTATGAGCGACAAGCAGATGGGACTGCAAATCATGCGCAAACTTCAAAAACAATCCCGTTGCCCAACTAACGATCGCCAACCCTTGTAGCGGCTACCGTAGCCTACTATGTACAATGTACTTAGTAGGCTACAAGCTTTGTCCGA